CAGCTGCACTCACTTCTCCGGTCGGTTGCTATAGAAACAAATCAATCCTCAACAGTTTTATTTTTACCAGTTTCTGTGAAATAGGATTTATCTCATTTCCATGACTAAGCTGTACTCCAGAGCGACAGCTTTGGGATGGTGACAGTGCCAGCTCAGCATCGGGCAGAGCTCGTGCTGCAGTGCCAAGAGGAAATGGCCATCACCTGTGCTCAGAGGCACCTTCTCATCTCCAGGACACTTCACCTTGAAAGGATGCCCACAGCTGGAGCACGACAGCACTCCACAGCTGCATCTGAGGAGGGGATGGCACAGCCTGGGAAAGGCAGAGGGCTCACATGCAGTGGAGGTGTAGGCACACATTGTCTGTCTCCAGCCAGCCAGGCAGCCCCTCGGGCACTGCCACAGGAGGGACTCAGCCTCCGGGAACTGCCTTCCCCTTGTCCAGGGGCAGCTGAGAGGGGCCTTCCCTCTGGTCTGGGATGCATTTCCTCCCTTCTGTACCCCTCTGCTCTGTGTCACACCTTCCACCTATGTCTGTGTTCTGTCCTGCTTGTTTGTCCTTCAGTCTCATTGAAACAATGCATTCCTTCACAAAAATCCTGCTGGATGAACACTGTGTCTTGGCTTAGCTGCTCCCAGTGTAGCAAAAACTGTTCCAAACATTCATCTCCAGAAAGTTCTGCTCCCTGCCAAATGGCCTTCCACAGCCAGAGGGATGCAGGACCCATGGCACTGATTTGAGCAGCTCCACTTCACCCACACTCCCTGCTGGGGCAGAACCCACTGCACGCAGGGAGCAGCGCTCTCTGAGGGGAGGGGAAGGGGACACCCTGCTCCTCTGTGCCCTCACCTGCAGGCTCCCGCCATTCCCTCCTGCTGGATAATATTTAGATTAACAGATATTAAATAAATACACTTAGTACTGACTCACCTAATATTCCTCACACCACATCTTAGCCCACAGCAACTCCCTCATGGAGTATTTGAGGTAACCTGTACATGGATATTTCCAAAACCCAACTGACACTTCAGAACACTCTCAAAGCAAGGCAAAAAGTAAGCTTATGTGCTTCTCACCCTCCAGCTGACACAAACACATTGACACACTGACATTCCCGAGGGAGTGAGTCCCAGAGCACCAGAGAACTCGGTGTGTGGGTGCTGCACAAACCCCAAGTCCTGCTCTACAGAGGGGAGCAGCAGCCCCCGTGGCCTGGGCGAGTGGAGCTGCACTCCCACAGTGTGGAGAGCCCGGTGCTCCTGACCCAGCCCTGAGCATGGAACCCTGACCAGAGCACACAAATAAAACCTTCCAAAGCTGCATCACAAGATCACACAGCCAGTAACTGCAGCCTTGGAACTCTTTAAGAAGTGCTCAGGAAACAACTGCCAGCAGAGTGCCGGTGCACACCCGCGCCTGTGGCAGGAGCACAGCGCACGTTCAGCAGTGCCCGCTCAGTGTGCAGGTACAGAGGGCTCTGTCCCACAGAGTGTGCATGGCAGGGTGTGGAGAAGAGACAGCCTAGAGAGGGTGAGATGCTTAATCACAGCAGCAGGAGAGGGAAAGACCCAGCACTGCCCTGTTCTGCGGGGACGCAGCGGGAGCAGCTCCCTTGTGATGCTGCGAACTATCAGTTGCACCAGAGCAAACACCAAACCCTTCTTTTTTTTAAATACGACTCATTTCTCTGACTCCAAACCGCCCTTGAACTGTTGGAAACCACTTCAAGTATTCTGCCATCCCACCACGTCATTCCCTAAACCCACCAGACCCCTCACCAGCAGCAACTGCTGCAAATGGCTGGAACACAGGCTGTGGCTTCTGTGGAGCAGCACCCGACCCCTTCCCACAACAGATGTGCACCCAAACTCCTCATTCCCAGCAGAAGTGTCTCCTTGATACATTCCCAGAGGATTGCATAGCTCATCTGGGGCTCAGCAGCAGCCTCAGTTTCCCCTTCCAGCAACACAGATACAGGCTTTTCACAGCCATAGTTGAAAATAAAAAGCTTTTTCTGCAGATTTGGCTTTAACACCACCCATCCCTCACTGCTCCTGGCAAAACCTCCTGAATGCAACCTGATAGCTCAGCCACAGATTATTTTGTTGTTTCCTGCCTTTAACTTCACAGTTAAGCACTAAAAAAACCCGAAACCAATAAATCCAAATTCTGCAGCCTTGATGCAAAAGCACCCCTGAAAATCCAAGAACCCTCATGGATTCATGGTGCATTTCTGATTTCTGGACTTGCTGCTGCTCATAAGCCCCAAGCCGCACGTGCATGGCGTGGATTTTCCCTCTGGCTGCTCTCTGCTCCTCACATGGTGCCTATTCCTGTGCTGTGGTCGGGTCTGGAGCCGGAGCAGCCGAGCACAGACGAGGGGCCAGATCCAGCCCCCAGCACGGCCCCAGGCCCTGCGGATCCCATGGAGCCTCCCAAACCCTGGCAGCCACCACCTCTTTGTGAGCCCACCATCTGCTCTGGCAAACGCCAGACTCCCATCTCCTCCTCCCACATCCTCCTTGTTCTCCCACCCCACCGACTCCCACCAGGGTTTGTCCCTCTGCCTGAAATCCTGAGTGTTACACCCTGCACCTTCACCCCTCAGGAGAGACCTCCATTGTCTTTGCAATTACTGCTCCTGTGGCTTATCCTGCTCCATCCTGTCCTGCTTCCTGCTCACCTGCAGCTGTAGGTGATTGGAGTCTGTGCATGGCTCCACACCCAGCAGGCTGGCTCGGCCTCAGCACAGCCTGGACTGTGACAAAGTTCACATTTACCTGATAACAGGCACGGTGGCAGCTCAGGTGATGTGATAAAACACCACATTCCAAGGAATTTACTGCCAGGGGAATCCTCTACCACTTCGTGGAGCAGCGCTTGCTCTCTTTGGAAGAAAAACAGCCCAAACTGATGAGTGCTAGCTCAGAGCAAGCACCAGCTCAGCACCTACCAGGTGTAACATGGGAATTTCAGGAAATGCCTGATTTGTACCCATCCAAAACTGGATCTTTGAGATGCCTGAAATGCTGCAGAACTGCCAGAAAAAGCTGGGACAGGCACTTTGGACACATGGGGTTTGGGAACAGGTTGTCCAAACAGTGGAACTTAAAAAATAAAAGAGGAACTAAATAGCGACATCCAAAGGAACCAAAATCAGGAGGAGGAAGGAACAAGGGAGTTTTGCCAGCCCAGCTGAGCATTTATGACCCGCAGTGGGAATGAGCTCTGGGGGTGGAGGGCAGCTCAGCAGTCCCATGTTGGGACAGATCCTTACAGATGGGAGGAGCCTCGGCAGGAGCAGGGATCAGCCTGAGCGAGAGGGAGCAGCTGCCTGAGGAAGAAAACATGGAGCACAAAGACCTGACCAGAGCTCTCCCCACAGCTGAGGGGGCAACACCTACACTAGAAAAGCTCCCATGCTGTAGTGCTGGAAAGGTGAGGCATCTTCCACCACACACATCCCTAGAACTGACCCGTCCCGGCTGCTCCCTTGGGCCTGTCCTCGCAGGGACACTCGGCAGCTGCTTCTCATCCAAACCTCATCACAAGCTCCTCACCTAGAGTCACTCAACCCAGAGCCAAAGCCCAGCAAAGGGTCAGGAGGCGGGAAACAACCCTAAAGCCCCTCAGTGGCAGCAGGTGCCACACAGCAAGGTAAGGACCACTGTCCCAGACACCCAGAGAACAGCACAGCACGGGGAAACGGCCTCAGGGCTGGGACTGGGGAGGGGAGAGAGACCACTGCAGTGTCCCCAGCAGCCATGTCAGTGGGCAGGGGTGACAGCTGTGCCAGGCACTGTCAGACAGGTCTGTGCACAAAGCCACAGCCAGAGCCAAACAGCCCCACGGGGAAAGGGCCCCGTGTGGAGCCGGTGCAGCTCACAGTGTGTGTAACCAGACCCCCGCCAGCACCTCCACCCCTTGAGGGGCTGCAGCAATTCCCCCCCACCCAGGGCTCCGAGTGTTTAATGTATCCAAGGAGAAGGTCACAGTCTGACCCAGGGGCACATTCACAGAGACACAAACCTGCCCCAGGGCAGTTCTCCTGGCCGAGGCCTCTGCCCCAGGAGGGGACCAGGTTATGAGAAAGGAAAAACACATCAAATTTGGCCACAACCGGGCCAGTCACGTCCCTCTCAACAGTCAGGGCATGGAGTGACAGTGGCACAGATCTCCTCCCGTGCTCCAGTACAAAGCAGTTGCTCAGGGACACAGACCAGCAGCAATTCCAGCAGAGGCTGAAGTGGTACAAAGCTGCGGCTCCAGAAACACAGCACTGAGCGGTTTCCTCGGGAGATGCCAAAAAGGGGAGGAGAAAAAAACCGAACAAGGGTCCAAGAGCTTCAAACCAGCGAATTGCACAGCGCAGGGCTGGGGACGCCGAAGCCACTGACGGAGACCGCCCGGAGCTGACCCCGACCCCGCAGGGAGTCACCGGGAGGGAGCGCCAGCAGGGCCTGGGCACCTCATCCCTCACCCACAGCCCGCAGCTCCCCCACCGCGGGACCCCGCGCACGTCTGGGCTGCACCCAGAGCCTCCCGACGGCCCCCCGGCTGAGCGCCCGCACAGCCGCGCTTCGGCCCCGGCGCGACAGCCCAGTCCTGGGCAGCACCAGCACCGGCAGCGCCCGCTCCAAACAGACAGACAGACAGACAGACAGACAGCCGCCCTCCCTCCCGGCCCACCGGGGCACACCAGCCCAGGAGCTCCGCCGCGGCTCCCCCCGCGCCGCCGGCCCCACCGAACCCTCCGGGCTTCCCAAGCCGCACAGCCCTCACAACCCTCCGCGATGTCTTATCCCACCCGCGGCCCTCGGCTCCCTCCCGCCCGGCCTGCGCTGCCGCTCCAGGGACAGCCCGGCACTCCCGTGTCCCGCAGCCCCTCACGGGCACACCCGACCCCCCGTCTGCCCCGCAGTCCCGCACTCCCGGCCCCGCTCCCCGCTCCCTCCCTGTCTCCCAGCCCGCAGCACCGCCCTCCCCGGGCCGCGCTCACCTGAGCAGGCTGGACAGCGGGTGCCCCACACCGCCGCTCCCGCCGCCGCCGCCGCCTCCCCCCGCGGAGCCGCCGCCGCCCCCTCCGCCGCCGGAGCCGCCGAAGCTGGAGCTGAGGCGCTTCCCCGAGAGCAGCTTCTCCACGGCCGGGAGGTTCCCGGTGCGCGCGGCCTCCAGCAGCTCCTGCTCCTTCCCCATGGCCGGCGCGCCCCGCGCCCGCGACACTTCCGGGGCGGGGCCGGGGGCGGCACCAGCTGGGGCGGGACCCACGCAGGGCCCGCCCCCAGCCCCGCCCTGTCCTCAGGCCGCGCCCGTTTCCGGGCGGGGTGTGGGGTTCCCCGCGGCGGGGCCGGGGCCGCGGGGCCGCTCCAGCGCCGTGTGCCGGCTCTGCCCCGCGGGAGCAGCCGCGTGTGGAGCTCCGGCCGGGCCGGGCCGGGCCCCTCCGCCGCAGCGCCGTTGCCATGGCGATAGGCCCCGCCCCCATCTGGCCTGTGTCGCGTCATCAAGAGGCGCAGGCTCTGCACGTTGCCATGGCGGCAAAAAGCCACGCCCCCTCACGGCGCTCTTAGTTAATCGTCATATACGGGCGCCGCCGCGCCGCCGCTGCCATGGCGACAGACTCCGCCCCTTCATGGACGTCATTTTTGTGCGTCATCAGGATACGCCGCTGCTGCCCCGTTGCCATGGCGACAGGCCCCGCCTCTCCGGGCGCGGTTGCGTCATCGGGCGGCGCCGCGGGGCGGCCATGGCGGACCCGGCCCGGGACCCGCTCGGAGCCGCCGCGGCCGCGGAGCCGCCCCCGGGCCCGGCCCCGCCCGCGGGACACGCGGGGGGCGAGGGCGAGGCGGGAGAGGCCGGCGGGGCTGGCGAGCCCAAGGCGGAGGGAGCGGACGGGGAGGTGAGAGCGGGGCCGGGCGGGAGCGGGCCCGGCGGGGGCCGAGCGGCCGCAGAGCGAGCGCTGCGCTGTCCCCCAGGGGAGGAGCGCGGAGGGCGAGGCGGCGGACGGGGACGAGCCCGGGCTGCAGCCGAGCGCGGCCAGGAAGGTGAAGCTGGAGCTGAAGGAGCGGAAGGAGAAGAAGCAGAAGGTGGATGAGGACGAGATCCAGAAGATGCAGTGAGTGCCCGGGACCCGCCGGGACACGGCCCAGCCCTGCCCTCCCCGCCCGGCCGCGGGGCCCTGAAGAAGCCTCGGAGCTGTGTATTTGCCGTGACCGATCGCTCTCTCCCCGCAGGATCCTGGTCTCGTCCTTCTCCGAGGAGCAGCTGAACCGGTACGAGATGTACCGGCGCTCTGCCTTCCCCAAGGCCGCCATCAAACGGGTATGAGGGGCAGGGGTGGCCAGGACGGGGCAGGGACCCCCCGGGACCCTCCTGCAGCCCCCGCGGCTCGGCCCGGGGTGACGGCACGGCCGATGCCCGGCGATTCCGGCGTGGAGCCCGTGGGGCAGCTCAACCCCCCCTGGGCTGGGGCTGCAGCTCGGGGGGCGGTGTGGGTCAAGATGAGGGCTCTGACTGTCCCTGCCTGTCCCCCCAGCTCATCCAGTCCATCACGGGCACCTCGGTGTCGCAGAACGTCGTCATCGCCATGTCCGGCATCTCCAAGGTGTTCGTGGGGGAGGTGGTGGAGGAGGGTGAGTGGAGCTGCTGGGGAAAAGAGGGGGGAATGCAGCACCCAGAGCTCAGGCAGGGCCAGGGGCAGCCTGGGCTGGCACAGCCCCTCTGTCCCAGCACAGGCCCTGGCCTGAGCCAGGACCTGCTGCAGGACCTGGTGTCTTTCCCAGTGCAGCTGCAGCAGCAGGAGAGGGGGAGGGCTCGGGTGTCCCCTCCCCTGACGCCTGTGTTTGTTGCTCAGCCCTGGACGTGTGTGAGAAGTGGGGGGAGCTGCCCCCCCTGCAGCCCAAGCACATGAGGGAGGCCGTGCGGAGGCTCAAGGCGCGAGGGCAGATCCCCAACTCCAAGTACAAGAAGATCATCTTCCACTGACTGGCTCCGAAACAGCTCCCTGTGGGATCCTCCCCAGCTGAGCCACAGCCTGAGGGGCTGTGAGACCTCGGGGACCACAGGGACAGCCCTGAGTCCCTGGGCAGAGCCAGGAGCTGCTCCTGACCTGGAGGCACGGGCTCCTCTGCCTCTGCACAGCAGGGAGAGGAACATCCACGGCCTTCAGAGTATTCCTCCCCCAGGGCTGTGCTTCCTGCTGGCCCCGCTGTGGCTGTTTCTGTACATTAAAGTGGTGTTGGTGGCCCGGCTGGACTCGCTGTGTGCTGGGCAGGGCAGGACCAGGCTGTGCCTCAGCCCCCCACGAGGTGCTCCTGGAGCTGCTCCCGGCCTGGGGCGGTGCTGGGGCCGCTGCAGTCACGGCTCAGCTGTGCCTCCAAAGCCAAAAACCGCACGGTGGGGAAGGCAGGGGAAGAGAGAGGGGAGGAGAAAAAGCCTGAGCCTGGAAGGAGGTTAAGGAGTTTAATTTTGCTCCTGGTTCATAGAACCGATAAATGCAGCAGTGGAAACAAACTGCAACAAAGTTCCAATACTGGCTACAACTCAAATTCAAGTTCAGACTTGCACATCCGCCCTGGGGGCTGCTCCGGCCCCAGGGAGGTGCTGAGGCTCTCCCACAGCACCTGTGGTGGGCAGGATTCCATGGGCTCCCACCAGAACAGAGGGTGAGTCCTTAAATAAGGGGCTCCACAAAGTAAACTTTGCTACTTGTGATCCATGGAGATCCCGGAGGTTTTGTCCTCCCACGCCTGTGGGTTTTGGGTTACAGTCCTTTTTACTGGGACTTCAAAGCAAAGCAAACGCTTGAATTCTTCAATAAACCCATTGACTGGAGTTGCTGGAGCAAGAAATTGGCTGTAAACAATTTGGCCCCAGCTGTGGGACCCTGCAGGTGGGCACCAAGGCAGAACAAACCCTTTGCACCCCACTCATTCCCCACTCAAACAAAACGTCATGAAAATTTGAAAAAGCAGAAGAGAAACCTCCCCTTTTCAAGCAATTAGAGAAGAAAAAGCAGGAATACCATTGCATTCCACCTCAGGCAAGCAGTCTGAGCTCCTGCTCCCCAGGGGAGAGGGAGCAGCACAAAGGTTTGGCAAAGCAAAGTCCAAATTCTGCTCGTGGGCTCTGGGGTGCTCACAGGGGGGTGTTCCAACAGCACCTGGATCTGGAGAGGTTCTGTCAGCTCCTGTCTTGCTCTGGGAGCTGCTCACAGCAAGTTACTCCCTGCAGAGGGGTCTGACACATCAGCACTGCCTTCACTGCTGAGGGAGGGCAGTGCCCACTGACACCCGGCTCAGGTGCCTTTTCCTCTCGGGAACAGGCCTGGAATGTGTCCCACCCCAGGCAGCCCCCTCTGGCCACAGACCAACAGCCCTGCTGAAGGATTTCCCCCAGGCAGGAGCTGGGTGCTGACAAAGCCCCACGGCCCTGCAGGAGCAGCTCCTTCTTCAGGGGTCACAGCTGCTCCCCCTCCCCGCCGGAATTCCGGCACACAGAGCTTTGAGGAGAACGTGCATCCCAAAAACTACACAGGCCATCTCCTTCTGAGACTGAACCAACTTCCTTCACCCCTGTTCTTTGATAGTAAACTTAAACAATTAATTCCTTTGTTTTTCTGCATCAATAAAGCCAAATGTTGTGGGATTAAGTGAGAATGAACTGGACTAGGTCTGATACACTGTCTCCACACAAGGAATTACTGGTAGAAAAAGAAATCTGAAGGGATTTCTTTACTATCCTGACCCTGTTCTTGAGGGGATAGTGAGCTGTATCCCCTCACTCCACAGGGGGAAATCCCTTCTGCACCCCTGTCCCAGTCTCCAGGAGCCAGCAGAGCCCTGAGCCCTCTGCCACCCCGGTCCTGTCACTCCCCAGGTGCTGAAGTGACCTCCCTTCTCCTGCCATGTCCCTTGGTGAGCAGGACTGGGCAAGAACACAACAAGGGAGAGTGAAAGAAGCAGAAACCCCAACACGGACCCTCTCTAGATGTCACCGTGGAAGGTGAAGGCTGAAAGGATGAGGAGACACAGGGTGTCCCCCCAGCATCTGACCTTGTGTGGGCAGGCTGAGCAGTGCCCTGCTCAGTGCAGCACTGCCAGAACACAGCAAAGAAAACTCCTCCTTCCTTCCCTGTTTGTCTCAGCCAGGCCTCCCTCCCTCTCCCGAGTCCTCTGCAGTCCCAGCTGTCTCCGTCCCTGCAGTCAGACCCGTTTGGCAGCGATGTGACCAAACCTGCCCTGGTGGTGCTGGTGCTGGTCCCCACTCCCTGGCAGTGCCGGCACTGTCAGAGCTGGAACAGGGGGTTGTATTTCCTGATCTCCTGCAGCAGATGAGCCTTGTCCATGTTGGCTTCTGCAAGGGCCAGTTTCATGGTCTGCAGCTCCCTCTGCAACTCTGGCACTTGCTTTAGCTACAAGAGACAAACAGAAAACAAGGCAGAGTTTCCAAGGTGCACAGTGACCTGCTCAGAGGAGAACCAGAGCAGGAGCTTTTGAGATTAATTACATGGTGTGACACAACTTCTCTTTGTGCAAGATTCCTGTTTTTCTAACAAGGAACTGGACACAGTGGGAAGATGGACCCAATCAGAAAAAATAACCAGGTTTCTAAAAGGGAACAGGAAAGTTTATGCTGGGCAAGGTGCCCTCACTCCTCAAAACACCCACAAGAGGAGGCCCACGCTGCTCCCCTGGGCCTCTGCCTGCAGTTTCACCACACCCACCAGGGACTGCAAACACACGAAGGCCAAGGAGAATTTCCAGCCCCCTGACAGCTCGCTCCTTGTCCAGACAGCAACAGGCAGCGGTGACTCACCTGCAGCCCATGTGCTCCTGCTGCTGGGCCTGCCAAGACAGGCTCTGCTGGGGCCTTTTGCCCCTCAGGAACTGACACAGGTTTTTCCTCTTTCAGTGACTCCTTCCCCTGGGGAGCTGGAAAGCAACAGAACACATTCAGGAGTGGACATCCACATAACAGGGCTCTTGGCACAAAAAGAATCATATTTTTTTCCTTCTCCCTCCGCTCCCCTTTTTAAGCAGGGAAACAAAATTCTCTTTTTCATTTTAAAATGAAGAAACTAAAACAAGGGAAGAGGCAGAAAGGGGTCCTGACTGTGTGTGCTCAAGGAAATACCAAGTTTGAATTCCCACACTAGGAAAGAGAGGCAGGGACTGCTCCCACCCCAGAGCCCATCCTTCCCAGCAGCAACCACCGTTCAGTTCCAGTCTCCTCCAGCACAGCCTGGGGGTGCAGAGGGACAATAAAACCAGCTCCTGGACATTGCTGACCTGTGAGATAGAACACACCGTCATCCTTGCGCCTCACGACAACGTGATCCACTGCCAGGGTGATGGGGACAGGGCCAGGGGAGGTGGGATACACCCGGGGGCTGTCATCCTGGGAAAACACAAAGCAGAGAGGAGATGAACTGCTGTGACAGCTCTGGCCCTCTGGAAAGGATTCCCCTTGCCTGCACCCTCCTCAGGAGCAGCATTCCTGACCAGCAGCACTGCCAGAGCTCACCGAGGGCACCCACCCCACGGAAAGGCCTGGCTGCATGAGCAGGGCTGCATGTGAGTAGTAATCAACAGTTCCCTTGGGTTCCCTGTTCATCCCTAAGGCAGTTTTTAGAAGCAAAGCCAGCCTCAGGAAAACAGAAGCTCTACAGAGGCCCCCGGCAATCCCACGGGGTCCCTTCCCAAGCAGAATCTTCCAAGTGAGCTCTGCCCTGGCTGCCGTCCCGGGGGGAATCTCTGGCTCCCCACACACTCACCTGCATGGTGATTTTGGCATCCACAACCTCTATCTCCATGGGGATCACCTCTGGAAGGATCTCATCCTCGAGGAAGGGGCCCAGGCCGGTGAGGGAGGACATGCAGAGCTGGGTGTGGCAGCCCCGCAGCAGCACCCGCAGGAAGCCGTTGCGCTCGGCCAGCGGGGAGCGGGCGGCGGCGCCGGGACCCCCCTCCAGGCGCAGGCACAGCTCGGGCTGGGGCGGGCTGGGCACGGGGCCCGCAGGCTCCTCCGCACCCGGGGCTCCTGCAGCTGGAGCAGAGAGGAGTCACTGCGGAGCGGGGCACCACGAGCCAGCTCTAAACCCAGAAAGGGCATCTTGGAGAGCCCATTTCTGTCCAGGTGCAGAGAGCAGCCAGGCTCACAGTGACCTCAGGCTGACCTCATCTCTCACATGAAACGAATCCACGGTGGAACTGCTTTGGGGTCTGTTTACTCAGGAGTTATCTTTTTTGGGGGGTGGGGGATTGATTGTTTTTGGATTTGGGTTGGGTTTTTTTAATTCGAGTTTAGCCCTGGGGAGGTACCCTAGACCAAAAGCATTTTTCTCAGTTCAGGAATAAATTCAGGGTTTCCCTAGATAGCTCTATTCACCCTTAATTCATTTCATACATCCTAGCAGGAATTAAAAAAACCCCAATCAATGATTACTAAGCCCCACAGAGCCTGACTGCATAGGCATTTGGGAAACATCTTTGAAATGCCAGATCTGAACCTTCACAAGTGAGTTGTATTCAATCCTAACCACCCCAAACACTGAGGTCCCAGTTAATGGAATATTCCCCGAGCAAGGCTGGTGTAAAAGCCAGTTCTAAGAGCACAGCTGTAAAAGCAGCTGAGTCCCAGAGCAGTGTCTCACCCACGTAGCCACGCAGATACTGCCACATCCCCACGTTGTTCAGCTGCTCTGGAACCACGTTCATCACTTGTACAGCCACAGACAAATCATCCCCTCGTGCCTCTATGCCACAGTTCACCTCATTCATCTTCAACACGAGGACAGACACCTGAAACAGCCACCAAGAGCTCATTGACTACAACAAACTTCCAGCACCCCTCAGGGACAGAACCCCAGTGCCAGGGCACAGGACTGACCAGCTGCAGGCTGGGGTCTTCACTCTGGGATGTGGAGCTGTTCACCTCAGGGGACAATCCACCCTCATCCTCGGCCATCAGGCTTGTCCTGCTGCCTGTGTCACCGTGGGCCTGGGGAAGCTGCCTCGAGGGAAGAGGGTCCAAGCTGGGTTCTGAAATGAAGTAACAGCAAAAACAACTCGATTCCATTTCTTTTTCTGGTTTTGAGAAGTCCTGATGTCAGCATCTGCCTGGATCTCATGGCCTCTGAGCCTATACCATCCTCTGGAGAACTCTCTCCAGCTCCTGTGATGAGTTTAAGCAATACAGAGTTGAAGTGAAAGATGTCCAGAGTACCCTATATCCAACCAGCCCTTCCTA